CACTTTCTAAAATCCACAGTAGTGGTAAGTGTACACGCTGAGCACTTTGCTCACTTTCTAAAATCCACATAAGTGGTAAGTGTGCACGCTAGACTTTGCGCACTTTCTGAAATCCTGTATGGTAAAGGTTACGCATTATAACTCTGTTCCCTTTGGTTAGACCTCGGTACCTTGGGCTCCACTCAACCAGTGTGTCTCTAATTGACACACTTGGAAGTATCGCTCCCCTCACCATTGAGATTTTCTTTGAGCATGCTGCTTCCTATCGAGCACCCGGGTTCGCTCCGTGGGCTGCTCTTGTGGTAATATTAGCGGTAGGAATTTCCTGCATTACAGTCTCCTATGCTGGACCTATGATGTTTTGGTTGGTTCTATGACTTCATAGCAACCACCTTACTGATGGTCCGGACTAGAGGCTTCTCTGGAATCGCCTCTGGAACGGGGTTCTGGCGCGGGAACCATGGTGGGTGAGTATGATCCAATCTATATATATATATATATATATACAGTGAGAGTTGAGTTCTCTGTTTTTTTCCCAGAGCACCTGGAACCAGCAGTATCAGGTGAGCATAGGCCCTTCACTCTGCCTCTCTGATGCGCTAGTTTTTTGGCTAGCTTGCAGTATGCGTACCCTCTGATTTCTAATGATCATGCTGTGCGAGCCCCCTCTCTCGTTGAGAGCTGGGTCTATGCTCCCTCAGCCAGGTAACTTACTGCTAGCAGTTCCAGCATTGGAACATGATGTAGGTCCGAGCCCCCCTCTCGATTGAGAACTGGGTGTGTTGCTCCCTCAGCTAAGTAAATTATTGCTAGCTGTTCCAGCATTGGAACATGATGTAGGTCCGAGCCCCCCTCTCGATTGAGAACTGGGTGTGTTGCTCCCTCAGCTAAGTAAATTATTGCTAGCTGTTCCAGCATTGGAACATGCGGTAGGTCGAGTTGAGAGCTGGGTGTTTGCCCCCCGCCCCAGCTAGAGATTTACTGCTAGCCAATCCAGCTTTATGCCTTAGATCGAGTTGGTGACTCTCAAACATATTGGTTTTTGGGTTGCACAATTCCATCTATGAGCTGCTCTTTCAGAGTGCCAGGAGAGCCCCTTAGAACAGTATCCTAAAATCCATGTTTTGGTAAGTGTGCATGTGAAGGCTTTGTGCACTTTCTAAAATCCACATTGTGGTATCCCCTCAGCATGGCGGCGTGGGTATACCGTTCCCCATAGCGCCCCCTAGAGGACGCA